CCCACTGAGCAGGGAGCCTGATGCGGGACTCGATGAGGGGCTCGATCCCAGGATGCTGGGATCATGACCTGAGCCGAAGGCAGATGCTTAATGATTGAGCCACCCAGGCACCCCTACATTTTTTTATTCTTTTTAAAGTAATCTCTATACCCAATGTGGGGCGCAAACTCACCACCCCAAGATCAAGAGTCACATGCTGTACTGACTTAGCCAGCCAGGCACCCCAGTTGGCTGAAGAAATTTTGAAGCGAAGTGTTGAGGAAGCAGCCTGGTTTCCCTTGAATACTTGCAGTAAAATGCAAGAAGAGAAAAATGATTTAAAGGGGGAATTGTTCATCAAAAAGGATGCAGAACTAAAAACTTGGAAAGTTCTTATCACTATCTAATATTCTATATATATTTTAGTCATTTATCATGTTTATTGCCTGCTCCTCCCACAAGAATGTAAGTTCCTGGGGCGCCTGGGTGGCTCAGTCATTAAGTGTCTGCCTTTGGCTCAGGTCATGATCCCGGGGTCCTGGGATCCAGTCCCGCATTGGGCTCCTTGCTCAGTGGGGAACCTGCTTCTCCCCCTGCTTGTGCATTCTTTCTCTCTCTTTCTCTGGCAAATAGATAAATAAAATCTTAAAAAAAAAAAAAAAAAGAATGTAAGTTCCTTGGGGCAGGGATCTGTTTGTTTACTGGTGTATCCCCAGTGCCAAAAACAGTGTCTGACACAAAGTAGGTACTCGATAAATGTTTGCCGAATGAATGCCAGTCCTAGGCATCACACAGATCACATCTTTTAATTTGCGCAACTACTCTTTCAAATATTAGCCCCATTTTAAAGATGAGGAAATGCAAGCTTTGTAAAGTGATATAACTTGCCAACTGCCAAACTAGTAAGTTGTAAAGCCTGGATTCCCACTTGGCTTGTGTAACTCCAGAGCCCTTGTTCCTAACCATCAAATGATACTACCTCTCTCTGTTCTGGAAGCTATGTTTTAAAAGATTGATACAATGGGGGCGCCTGGCTGGCTGAGTTGGTGAAGCACAAAGCTCCCCGGGTTGTGAGTTTGAGCCCCACATTGGGTGTAGAGATTACCTTAAAATAAAATCTTAAAAAAAAAAAAAAAAGATTGATATAATGAATCAATCTAGAGGAGGGTGTTAGGACTGGTGAGGGGTCTCTAAGCCATGTCATATGATAAGCAGTTTATGGAACTAGAAAGTCTTTTCACCTAAAGAAAAGCTTAATTTGAGTGAGGGATTGAATATATGAAAAGTAGATCCAAATATTTGAAGAGCTATAGCATGGAACAAGAATTTGTTTGTTCTGTGCAGTCTGAAGGGCAGAGCCTGGAATTAAGAGAGCAAATAAGGAAAGTCAGTCTATTCCCTGCTTGAGGCACAGAAGCTGAGGGTACAGATAGGGTTGATGCAGAGGGCAGAGGTCCTGGACCTTCAGGATTCCTTGGCAACTCTGTGAATTTCGCATATCTTCCCAGAAAACAAGGGCAAAGAAGCTTCTAGAAGCAAGTTGTGTTCAATGCTAACATGAGGCCAACACAGTGAAAGCAGAGAGAAAACCTCAGGTGGGAGGAACGCGGTCATGAGGGCCCATTCAGGAGAAGTTTCAGTGCTCAATTTGTCAGCACATATACTAAAATGGGAACAATACAGAAAAGATTAGCAGGGCCCTGTGCAAAGATGACACAAATTCATGAAGTGTTCCATATTTTTATTGTACACCTAAAACTAATATAACACTGTATGTTAATTAAACTTCAATTGTTTAAAAAAGATTATTTGAGAGAGAGAGAGAGAGAACATGAGCAGTGGGGAGGGGCAGAGAGAGAGGGAGAAGCAGACTCCCCGCTGAGGGGGAAGCCCCAAGAAGAAGATAAAGATGGGGCTTGATCCCAGGACCTGAGATCATGACCTGAGCAGAGGGCAAACATAACCTACTGAGCCACCCAGGTGCTCCCCCCTTTTTTTAAAGGAGAAGTTTCAGGGGCGCCTGGGCGGCTCAGTTGGTTGGGCGTCTGCCTTCTGCTCGGGTCATGGTCCCAGGGTCCTGGGATGGAGTCCGCGTCGGGCTCCCTGCTTGGTGGGGAGCCTGCTTCTTCTTCTCCCTCTGCTGCTCCCCCTGCTTGTGTTCTCTCGCTCTCTCTGTCAAATAAATAAATTAAAAATCTTAAAAAAAAAATAAAGGAGAAGTTTCAGTAAATGTCTGGGTTGCCTCCACAGATGTGGAATTTAGCTTAAAAAGAAATGACTGATTGGAAAAAAAAAAAAAGAAAGAAAGAAATGACTGGTTGGGGTGCCTGGCTGGCTCAGTCAGAGAGCATGCCACTCTTGATCTGGGGGTTGTGAGTTCGAACCCCATTTTGGGTGTAGAGATTACTTAAATGAATAAATAACTTTAAAAAACTTTTAAAAAATGACTAGTGAAGGAATGCAGACAGCTGTTGAAAAACTTTAGCTTGACAGAAAAGGGGGATATGAGGGAAATCATTCAAGGCTGCAGCAATATCCAGGAGAGAGCTTTTCAAGATGTGGAAACTTCTGTGTTTGAAGGGAGTGGGGATTAAAGACCCTGCCATATGGTTATAGGAGCAAGTTTCCTTACACTTTGGAAAGAATGAGATGCTGGGTTGGAGACACACCTCGGAGGTTTGGAGCAACCTCAAATCATGTCCATTTTGGGGGTGTCTGGTAGATTACAAAGTTAAATACTAAGATGGTTTTGAAGATACTTAGTATATTTAATTAATTAATTAATTAATTAATTAATTAATTTAGATTTTATTTTTTAAGTAATCATTAAACCCAACATGAGGCTTGAATTTAACAACCCCGAAATCAAGAGTCACATATTCTACTTGACTGAGCCAGCCAGGTGCCCCAATACTTGGTGTATTTTAAATGTTTCTATTTAACAAATGAAAACTCTTAGCATAAACACAGCAATAATATAGTGATAGTTACAAAATACCTACAGGCATTTTTTTTTTTTTTTTAAGTACAAGATTGAAGAGCCCTATAAATGTGAGACTGGGATTAAAGGATCCTCCTGGGGTGAGGATGAGGTTAGGGTGGGGATGAGGTTAGGAAGATGAGTGCAGGTTAGAGGCGCCCCAAGAGGAGGCATGACCTCCAAAGGCCTCAGGGAAGTGACACAGAAATGCTCACTCTCGGATAAAGGAGGCAGGGAGGCCGGCTTGCCTTGGCACTTCAGGGGTCAAAGCATTCCGAGGTCGGGCCCAGGGGAAGGGCATCGTGGAGCGATCAGTGTCTGAGGCGTCCACAGGGGGGCAGCGTGGCGACTCGGAGGAGCTCTGAGAGGGCCCCGAAATGGCCCCTTACTTCCTCCCACACCCCAACTCCACTCCCTCTTCCTTCCCGTTGTTATTCGAGGGCTGCCCACCAACCCCCGCAACAGGGACAGCTGAGGGAAACTCTGACTTTTTCTTCTCTGCAGCTGGAAGGCTAAGGCTTGTCATCCTGTTGCGCCCATAGTCCCACCCCTTTAAGTACAGGTGTCCTGGGTGGAAACATGGAAAGTGGAAAGGGGGAAGGAACAGTCTGGCGCTATCCGGTATCCATGGCCCGTGTCGGGGGCCTGGCTTGGCCCCTGCCTCTCAGGCTTGGTTCGCAGCGCCAACACCCAGCACAAGGGGGCGCTATCGCCCCGCAAACCCTGCCCGGCTGGTCTCTGCAGCAGAGTGGGGGGTGGCCAGCCGGAGAGTGGGGTGGGTGTTCTTCTGGGCCCCTTGTCCAGCTTTCCTCCACCCAGAATTTAGATGCAGTTTTGTGCAGGCAAGGGGTGGGGGGGCTCTGGAACACTGGCTGGTAAGGTAGAGGAGAAACTCTGGGGACAACTGGCAGGTGTCAGGAGGAGAGAACTTTGTGTGGGCCCCCCAGGCCAGGGTCCAGAGCAGGCTGGCCGGAGGGTACCGCCTGAAGGATTGGTATTTCCAGAAGCGCTGGGTTAACACAACCCGATGCTGATCACTCCCAGATTAAGGGCAGGCTGTGGGGGACACATGAGGAGGCCATAGGGACAAATGTTTAGGAATTATGAACCCATTACCTTGATATATTTTTCTTTCTTTTTTTAACTTTTTAAAGATTGAGGTGAAATATACAGTCAAGTTCATGAAATGTACTAAAACCTACAGCTCAATGATTTTTTACGTTACGTATACATAATACTTCTATACTTATGTGTACAGTACTTATATATTCCCAGCTACAGCTGTTTGCTTGTGTAATTCACAACTTTCACTGGCAATTTAAGTCAACAAACCTTTTTTTTCCCTTTTTTAAAGATTTTATTTATTTGTTTGTCAGAGAGAGAGCGCACAAGCAGGGGGAGCGGCGGGCAGAGGGAGAAGCAGGCTCCTCGCTGAGCAGGGAGCCCATTCGGGACTCAATCCCGGGACCCTGGGATCATGACCTGAGCCGAAGGCAGATGCTTAAATGACTGAGCCACCCAGGCGTCCCTTTAAGTCAACAAACTTTTTTTTTTTTTTAAGATTTTATTTATCTATTCATGAGAGACAGAGAGAGAGAGGCAGAGGCAGAGGGAGAAGCAGGCTCCAGGGAGCCCAATGCGGGACTCAATCCCAGGACTCGAGGATCATGACCTGAGCTGAAGGCAGACGCCCAACTGACTGAGCCACCCAGGCGTTCCTTTAAGTCAACAAACTTTTATTAAGGGACTCTTGCGTGCCTAGCACCATACTACTCCTTTGTAAGGAAGCGAGGACAGAACATGTTTGTCCCGTGGCTGTGGTGGGGTCAGTATTATTGTGAATCATAGTCATTCCTTGACAGAAGTATCCCATCAGTGCCCTGGAGGGCTGTGGCAGGCTGTGTGATCTGCTTGCAGTGGCCATATTTTTGGAATCCAAAGTGGGAGGAATTGTCTGCCATGTCTGAATACACTAATGCACAGAACCCCAGGAAGATAATATTATTGGATCCAGAATATACGGTCAGGGCAACCACACTACGAGCACAGAGCCAGACACTGAGTGGCCAAGGAGAGCATTTTTGGGAATTGATTTTGCTCTCTGGCCTGGTGCTCCATGTCTCTGGAAGCTGAGCAAAGGGTGACGTCTTTGACCACAGGCTGGATCGAAATGAGCTGGAGCTTGTCGCGTGTGTGTGAATCCGCTAGGCCTTTGGAGGCACCAGTCTTTTCCCCTCCCTTGTGGTCATCCTGGCCTTGCCCCACCCACACCCCATCCTGCCCCAAATCAGGGAAGTGCCCCTATTGGGAAGTGAAGTGTGTGAGCAGGATGTGACCCATGGTGAGGCAGCTCCCACACCTGGTCTGGTCCCTGAGTCAATGAGCTACTTCAGGAAGTCCTTCCGCCAATTCACTGCAGTGTGGACACCTCTTCTGGGCCATCTCTTGCCCCTCCCCACTCAGGTGTGGGTCTGTGGGGGCAGGAAACTGGTCTCCTCCTCCTCTAAGCCACAAAGGGCCCATTGGAGAAATAAGGTACCCTGGGGGAGCGGGGGAGTGCTGCCTCCGCAGGGAGGTAGTGGAAGCTGCTCCCTTGGGGTGTGGCAATAGCCCTGCCCTGGGGTGCCCAATCCTGCCCTAAAGGCCCTGGTTCCAGGGCTGGTGAGGGACAGAGGAGGACAGAGGGGGCTGGGCCTGGCTGGGGAAGGCTGGCCTGGAAGGCGCTCAGCCTTCGGCCCTGGGCCAGGGTGGAAAGTATGTGTGTGAGCTCATTTGAAAGGTGGCTTCTGGCCAGTCAGGCCTGCCTCCTTTCCAGGCCCCAAGTGCCCAGCCCCCTTGAAGGCGGCCTCTGGGTCTCCCCAGTCTCCCAAGACTGTCTGAGGGACAAAGGCCGAAAGCCCCAGGTTAGGTGTGCAGGCATTGGTCTCCTAAAGGAAGTTAATTCCGATTTGGGGGCTGGGTAAGAAGGGGGTACAGGGACTGCAGGACAATGGATTAGCCTTGACTGGGGTTCCCTTGGGGCCTTAGGGAACGAGAAGGCTCTCATCCTCCTAGGCCCTCGTCACAGCCATTCACCACCCCCATTCCTCCCCTAGCTGCTGCCATTCGTGCCACTCAGTCCTTCTGGCTTCTGAGTCCGTCCTGCTGCTTCCTTCCTTCCCTCAGAGTACCTGTCCCTGTCCCCCAAAAGGGAGGTGACTGCAGGCAAAGCGGGTTCCTGAGGGAGAGCCCTTCTGCCGCATTCCTACTCCCCATGCTGATGCTGCTGCACGGAACAAGAAGCGAGCGCTCATGGGCCATCAGATCCCCAGAACACACACTACCACACATACCCAGCCACACAGGGGCCACACTGGAAGAGACACCCAGAGACATGGGCAGAATCTACCTACACAGGGAAGAAAAAAAAAATCAGACAGACCTGGGTTTTCATTTTGGACTACCGAGCTACGACCTTAAGGAAGTCTTACCTGGGCCTCAGTTTCCAAACCTGTAACACAGGGGCAATGGTCATGCCTGTGTCATTAGGTGTCACGAGGACCTCAGCAAATGTTGGGTTTTTGACTACCTCCCTCTGGCTGGAAAGGGAAGTGGCAGTACGGAGGGGAAAGAGGACTTGGAAGGCTGTCAGCGTGCAGAGAAGGGGCCTCAGGGGAGCGACAGTGAAGGACCAGCAGGGCTGGGCAGGTTGTGCGTGAGGGGTCACTCTGCTCAGTCCTCTCTTCTCTAGAGAGCCCAGTTCATTCTTCAATCTTCCCTTCTC